ATTATTTGTCGGCTGACATCAAACTCGAGGATAAAAGCTCAGACAGGTTTGCTCCTGCAGGTGCAGCCAGATACGGGAAATCTCACGAGACTTCCTGAGACCATGCGTGATTTCGGAGTAAACAAACATGGCCGACCAGGAGGAAATGAGGGTGAGAGTTTGAGGATTATTTATTTTTTACAGAGAAAAAAACGAACAAAAAAATAAATAAAAAGACATCTCCAACATCCAGCAGACTTTAGGCCGTGTTTGTTTACGTCACTTTGTGTCTCTTCCTGATTGGCTGCACGTCTCGTCCAATCAGCTGCAGCTCGTTTGTTCTGAGGAATCAGATCATCTTTAGAGCATCAGCAGAATAAGATCAGGACAAAACTCTCCGTGTGAGCTCACATGTTGGTGCTCAGAGGAACACAGACCCAGAAAGGTCCCTGGCTGGGATTCGATCCGGCAACCTTCTTGCAGAATAATGTCACCCCGCTGGCCGGAAACCCTGCTTTAACAGAGTGTAAGTGGCCCACGGACCACCAGTTGATCACTAACAGGTTTTATTTGTGAGACGGAGCAGAGGTGGTTCCACGACGACCTGGGTCAGGCCTAGAACTGCTGAGACTGGACTAAAGGTTCTACCAGGACTGTGACCAGGTTCGAAATGACGTCATCACATCAGCAGAGTTTTAATGAGATCAGGTGACTCAGCTCTTCTGATTGGTTCATAAAATCAACCTGATTCAGGTTCTTCCAGTTTGTTCATAAATTTATCAGATTTATTTTAATCATTTAATTATTTTTTAATTATTAAATGTTGTAACTTTTCCATTTATTTTTTTGTCTAAAGACAAATTTTATGGACTGTTGTTTTAGTCAAAATACAATAAATAAATAAATAAATAAATAAATAAATAAATAAATAAATAAAACAGTTGATGAAAGTATTTTCATAAAGTCAGAGGTAATCAGATGTCTGGGATTAAAACAGGACTCGTGCCCGCGCTGGACTCCGACAGACGCGCGCGCTTCCTCTGACAAGAGCGCGCCGAGACGCGGGAGCGCGCCTCACTGATCCAAGGACAGAGCTGCGGACGCGCGCGAGCATCAGGTCACCTGAAAGTCCTCCAGCTCCACGAGACCGAACCGACCCAGAAGATTCGGTCCGGTTCGGTCCTGCAGAGGAAAAAACCGAGCCGAACCCGAATTCCGAGGCAGGTGAATCAACAGGACCAGGACGAACCGAGCCCGCGGGTCCCGCGTCACAGAACCCCGACCGGAACCGAAACCTGGCTGTCAGAGAAGCAGCCAGAACCAGACCCAAAAGGTCCGACCCGGTTCAGTCATCAGTAATTCAGAGAACACACAGGAACCTTTTTAACCCAACCGAACCGAACCGAACCGGAGCGTGACCCGTCTGATTACTGAGATCATCGGGAACCGAACCGGAGCAGACTGGACCGGATCAACAGGAGACCAACGGACCTGCTGGGAGACTCCGAGGACCGGCAGCTGAGTCAGAACCAGAACCAGAACCCGCAGCTGGATGAGTGAGTGTCTCTGGTTCCGTTTGGGTTCGTTGGTTCTGTTTTCATCCAGAGTCCGGATTTGATCTGGTTCAGGT